GTCCTAGCTGTCAACGACCTTGCCTCTGACTGGAGCAACAGGTGCCTGAAATGGAGAAGGCGAGGAGTCTCCGGGGAGGAACCCGGTGAGAGTGCTCCGAAGCTCAAGTTAGTATTTCCTTAAAGGCAAGATCAAAACCAGATAGCGCAAAGTTATCACGTACCTCCATTCTCGGGGGAAGAGGGCCTTTTATAACCACTTCGTGCACTCACTCCCAAGCTCCTGTCAGGTCAGGCATCATTACCTCTGCACTTCTGCCAGTTTGGGTGTCGTCACCTCTGTCGGGGCAGGCAACCGCCACTGCTCTCTTTGTCGGAGCCGTTTCTGTAACTGGAGGTGGCGGTGGCAGGTGGTCGTTGAAGTGCGGCTGTCAAGCGTCAGATCCCAAGTCAGTCTAGTGCGCCGCCTCAGGATATGGGCTCTGGTGTCAGGTACGGTGGTTCAGTTCGGTGGCCAGGAGACAGTGTCGGAGTGGTGTGCAAGGTAAAGTCTTGAGTTCGGATAGAAGTGTGGCCCGAACTGCCCTTGGGTGGGCCAGTTCGATTTGTGGCCCTTTGTGCTCTTTGCAAGGTTTGGGGCCAAGGGGAGAGTTCGGGCTTCTTTTGGGGAGCTCGGGTCACAGGTCCCTCTTGGGGGAGCTCGGGGTTCCTCTTCTTGGAGCTCGCGCCTCGGGCACTGCCGTGCTGAGCTGTCATTCTTGCCAGGTCACCCTTGGCTGCTTCCACGTGTCGGGTGGTCGAGAGGTCGGGTCAAATTTACCTCCAATTGCCCCCCACTCCTCGTGCCAAGGGTCTTTGCGCTAGCGCGGGGAGTTCGCAAGGTGACGGGTGGATTTGGCCCGTTCTTTCAAACCATCTGACTGACGGCGTGAAGTGCGCGGACGTCAGGAGTTTCCTCGAGCGCCAAAAAGTCTGAAAAAAAAAACGCGCCAGTCCGCCTTTCAATGGAGGCGCGACGGCGGGCGTTATTTAAATTCAAAAAACGCGCCACTGCCGCTTTTAATGCTGGGAGACGTGCGCCGGCGCTGCTTCAGTTTCCAAAGACGTGCAGCCAGTCACATCTCGGTCTTAGGAGGCGTGCAGTCAGCCTGGTCGCGAGCCGTTGGATTTGTCTTGATCAGAGCCGTTGGTTTTTGGTCACTGTGGGTATAAATAGTGGGGGACCCCCAGTCGTTTTCTTCCGCCATTCTCCTACATTTGCTTCTTGAGCTCGCGTCCAGATTTTTAGCTCGCGTCAATGTTCCGTAGTCCGTTTAGCTTTTTCCGGGTGAGTCTATTTTTCTTTTTGGTTTTCCTTTCCTTGCCATGTCTAGCTCGGACAGCTTCTCGAGGGGGTCATACGCAGATTCCTCGAACCGAGCTACGGCCCCCGACAGCCTTAGTGAGTTCGAGGCGGAACCCGAAGTAGAGCTCGAGGAAGAGTTAGAACCCGTAGGCCGAGTTGCCTCGGGTAGTTTGGCGTCCTCCTCCCGTCGAGGTCGGACATTAGACAAGTTCGGGCCTTCAACCATGACGCCCAAGGGGCTACACTCCCTTATCGCCTAGTTCAACTTACCCAGGGAGTATACTTATTCTATACCCTCGAGTGATTTCCCTTGGGAACACAGTCCGGATGAGATCGTGGTATTTCGGGAGCAGCTCGTCGCCGGGTTGCGCCTACCTTTCCACCCCTTTATCGTCGAGATCATGAACCACTTCGGCGTTACCGTCGGTCAACTTCACCCGAATTCTATCCGCAACTTGGTTGGGACCATCTCCCTCTTTTGCGCACACATTCTGCCCTTAGACCTAGAGATCTTCTC